AGTATGACTTATATCGCCCACAACTCACTTGTGTTCTACTCGTGCATATAACATCAACACATAAAACCTAGGCTCGGATACCACTGTTGGGGAACGTAGTAATTTCAAAAAATGTCCTACGCACACGCAAGATCATGGTGATGCATAGCAACGAGAGGGGAGAGTGTGATCTACGTACCCTTGTAGACCGACAGCGGAAGTGTTAGCACAACGCGGTTGATGTAGTCGTACGTCTTCACGGCCCGACCGATCAAGCACCGAAACTACGGCATCTCCGAGTTCTAGCACACGTTCAGCTCGATGACGATCCCCGGACTCCGATCCAGCAAAGTATTGGGGAAGAGTTCCATCAGCATGACGACGTGGTGACGATCTTGATGTACTACCGTCGCAGGGCTTCCCCTAAGCACCGCTACAATATTATCGAGGATTATGGTGGAAGGGGGCACCGCACGCGGCTAAGAGTATGATCACATGGATCAACTTGTGTGTCTAGGGGTGCCCCCTGCCCCCGTATATAAAGGAGCAGGGGAAGGTGCGGCCGGCCAGGAGGAGGGCGCGCCAGGAGGAGTCCTACTCCCACCGGGAGTAGGATTCCCCCCCCCCTTTCCTAGTTGGAATAGGATTCGGGAGGGGGAAAGAGGAGAGAGAGAAGGAAGGGGGGGCGCCGCCCCCCTCTCCTTGTCCTATTCGGACTAGGGGGAGGGGCGCGCGGCCCAGCCCTGGCCACCTCTCCTCTCTTCCACTAAAGCCCACTAAGGCCCATATACCTCCCGGGGGGTTCCGGTAACCTCCCGGTACTCCGGTAAAATCCCGATTTCACCCGGAACACTTCCGATATCCAAATGTAGGCTTCCAATATATCAATCTTTATGTCTCGGCCATTTCGAGACTCCTCGTCATGTTCGTGATCACATCCGGGACTCCGAACAAACTTCGGTACATCAAAATGCATAAACTCATAATATAACTGTCATCAAAACCTTAAGCATGCGGACCCTACGGGTTCGAGAACAATGTAGACATGACCGAGACACGTCTCCGGTCAATAACCAATAGCGGAACCTGGATGCTCATATTGGCTCCCACATATTCTACGAAGATCTTTATTGGTCAGGCCGCATAACAACATACGTTGTTCCCTTTGTCATCGGTATGTTACTTGCCCGAGATTCGATCGTCGGTATCTCAATACCTAGTTCAATCTCGTTACCGGCAAGTCTCTTTACTCGTTTCGTAATACATCATCTTGCAACTAACTCATTAGTTGTAATGCTTGCAATGCTTATGTGATGTGCATTACCGAGAGGGCCCAGAGATACCTCTCCGACAATCGGAGTGACAAATCCTAATCTCGAAATACGCCAACCCAACATGTACCTTTGGAGACACCTGTAGAGCTCCTTTATAATCACCCAATTACGTTGTGACGTTTGGTAGCACACAAAGTGTTCCTCCGGCAAACGGGAGTTGCATAATCTCATAGTCATAGGAACATGTATAAGTCATGAAGAAAGCAATAGCAACATATTAAACGATCGGGTGCTAAGCTAATGGAATGGGTCATGTCAATCACATCATTCTCCTAATGATGTGATCCCATTAATCAAATGACAACATATGTCTATGGTTAGGAAACATAACCATCTTCGATTAACGAGCTAGTCAAGTAGAGGCATACTAGTGACGTTTGGTTTGTCTATGTATTCACACAAGTATTATGTTTCCGGATAATACAATTCTAGCATGAATAATAAACATTTATCATGATATAAGGAAATAAAATAATAACATTATTATTGCCTCTAGGGCATATTTCCTTCGAATTTCTCGCAGGGTGGCAACCTAGATTACTACCTAAGGGCGATAGATTTACCCTCCTCTATTTTGTTATTGACGCATTAGATGCTTATTTTATGTCAGTCTTTCTTATTCCCAGAAAAAATACTTAAAATTCTCGATGCCTTTAGACGTGTCTTCTTCTAGGCTGCCGAGGAGGCTTGTCCAGATTCTCAATACCTAAATGCGTGGAACAATGTTTGCAAACCCAAAAAATGCAGCGGTCTAGGGCTGAAAAACCTGCATCAGCAAAACAAATGCCTCCTTATGAAATTTGTTATCAAATCTCTACTTCCTACCTCTACCCCCATGGCTTCATTGGATTAGTCTACAACACCCCTGACGCCTTTGTGGCACCAAAAAATAATAAAACCTTCCTTTGCAAAATCATCAACAACCACATTGCTGACCAACAAAATATATCATTTATCATGACTAACAATGGCTCTGATCCTCTGGTATGACACTTGGCTGCTCCCTAAACCCATAGCAATTGCTTTCCCCTCCCTTTTTTCTCACTCCGTTGTGCCATGATCAGGGTGGCAAATATCTGGCGCCTCGGTTTATAGAATCTAACATGTGAAATCGCCTAACCTGTGCAGCTACAAGAGAACATAGTCTGCTTTTGTTTGTGTTATAGGATTTCATGCCCCCCCCCCCCGGATCCGAATGCTCGTCTTCTCATTGGTGGCAAGGCAGTCTCCACAAGGGCCGCATACGACATCACCATGAAGCAATCGGAGGAGGATCCCACGGCCAAAGCATGTGTTCCGACCAAAGTCAAGATCTTCGCTCGGCTGATCTTCCCTGAGCACCTCAACTCCCATACCAACCTCGCCTTCAAAACATCGTCAACAATGTCGACCGTTCATGTTGCTTGGACGACATCGAGGACGCCGACCACATCTTCATCTCATGCCCCTACTCTGGTAGGATTTGTCAAGGGGTCGGCACCACCCCGACCTCCTCCATCCATGAGCTGCGGGACTACTGCCTCTCACATAGTCGCATTGCTTGGATCACACCCTATGGCCCTTTGCTCTGTTGGTGGTTCTTAAGGAAATTTGGGATGCACCAAAATGCTAAAGCCTTTCGCCGTGATGGCCTTCATAGCTCCGCCATGCTAAAGAAGATCATTGATGACCTAGACCTATGGTCACATCACATCTCCAAGCAATAATGCGACAAGGCATCTACGCCTCTCCTCTATTTATAGAAACATAGTTGAAGAAATTACATGAATGTCATTGGCATTTTACTAGTGTTGCTTTTCCTCTAACCCTACTGGTATTATGGTAATTACATAGGAGAATATTCCTAGTCATCCAGCATATTCCTTTCGGGTTTTAGTAATTACAATACTACTCCCTCATATATCCGTATCTAGACAAATCTAAGACAAGAATTTTGGGACGGAGGGAGTACTCTTGAATCATCGGATGTACACTGTGATCTTAAGGCTGTGTGACTATCACAGTCTGATGAACAAGGGTCTCGTGGTTTTGTACCTCTGTCGATTGTCATCCTTCAAACAGGGCAGAACTACCAGTGTTCAGAACAAGTTCAGACGAGCTCTCAGGTATGTTGACTCTGGCATTTGCCATGCACTGCATCTTATCCATGACAGTTTGGTGCAATACAACACCACCAATAACAAAAGAAGAGATACAGGATTGAGAGCATACTAGCAATCAAGAATATAAAACTGTCCTGAGATAAAGATGTCCTGAACTGGAACTGAATCTCAGGATCAAACGAACAGACTGGAAATGGAAGAGCAAAATCGGAAGCGCATCGACCACAAAATGGTCGGCTCTTCATGGATTTGACACAAGATTGGCTGGAGGTAAACTGAAAACAAACGCTAATAGTAGTCACATTGTAAAACCAGAACATGTTTCACATATTCGCCTACTCTGTAAAACTCCAAACACAAACTGTCTGATCCAGACTCCCAAGATGAGCACTATTATTTGATGAAGGTTCTCGTGATTTTGTGACTCTGTCGATTGCCATCCTTTAAACAGGGCAAAACAACCAGTGTTCAGAACAAGTTAAGACAAACGCTCTAAATTTGCAATGCTCTGCCTCCTATCGGTGCCAGTTTGGTGTATAGTTTGGAGATGAGAGTGGGAAAAGAAGGAACATCCTGGTACCTATGGTTTTCTTCTGCAAAGACACAAGTAAGAAACAACAACACCAATAGCAGAAGAAGAGATGCATCAAGAGCAGGCCATTTCTACTTAGCAGTTACCAGCAATCAAGACAACAAAATAGGAAAAAGCTGAGAAAATATCTAAGATGAGTGCGTGGATAAGAAAGAAATGTCGATGAAGCACTCGGAAATTGAGGGACCAGAAGACTCTTTCATTACATGGTTACATGATATGCCACACGATGCAAGTATGCAACCACCCGAGTTAAAACTGTCCTGAATTGGAACTGAGTCGCAGGATCAATGGACAAGCTGGAAAGGGCAGAGCCAAATCTGAAGCAAATCCACCCCAAAATGGTCAATTCTTCAGTGGACTTTACACAAGATGGCTACAGATAAACTGAAAACAAGCGCTGATAGTAGTAACATTGTAAAATCAAAATATGTTTCACAAATTCACCTACTCCATAAAACTCCAAACACAAACTCTCTGATCCAATAACATGTAAGTAGATCCTGAGTTTGCTACATGTTATAATGTAAGCAGCAGATAAATGCCAATCTGTTGTTATGTCATATATTGTAAATTGTAATGCATATACTGAAGTAACCGGAAACAGCGGAAGCAACAGGCCATGAATTTAAGTACAACTGTAAAAGGTTCAGTAGCTTCCTTCCATGTTATTTTGAATTGTTTCTCAGGGGCAAAAAAGTTGATTCACCACTGAATATTACATACATCGTTAAGGGCAAGAAAGCTGCTTCTTTGAGTGTAAATAAGCAAACAAGCAACTGTTCAACTTTTCTGAATTTACATAGAACTGAACAAACTGACTTTATTATCTATCCTCCACAAACTGACACTGTAATGATCACCAACCTTAATGATGATGGGTATGCCCCCAACATGAATTTTCTGCGCCATTAACAGAATACAGGGGTAACCGAGGATCTATGCTGTGACAATACACTGTACACCAAAGAAGTTTGGCTCCTGCTTCATGTGCTACATCTCTGATTCAAATCCAATGTTCCAAAACCCTTCAGGTGTCAATGGAGGGGCATACCTGTATCTGTGTCTAGACACACCATCATGATGCTCGCACCTCATACTTGTAGCACCATCACCATTTACACGGCCATCAGGAAGCACAGCGTCATAGAACTTCTTGCACTGCTTGCATTCAACACCTTTCAGATTCGCCCGATCAGCTTTCTTTCTTACAGGTTCTGTATATTTGAAATCTTTATTCGGTGGATGGATTGAAATTGAGCTTCGCTGCTTCGGAACTGGTATGTTGTTGAGGCCCTGAGCGACAATATTGATGTCTTGAGTCTCATCATCTGAGTTATTGAAGTCCATATCTTGGGGAGGAGGGGCAGCAAGAGCTAGTGCTTCTTCTCTAGTTGTAGGGTTCCTGATCGTATTTTTTACAGCCTCCAGAGGAGTATCAAGAAAATCATCATGTGGATCAACAACACCTGGTTCCTTACGCACACGAGTTTCCCTCCAGTGTAGACTTGGGCGGGTGAAACTAGATGATGCCTCTGTCTTTGAAGTGCTAGCACCACTCTTGTGCGGAGGGTTAGTTGCATGAGGTGGTAAACAAAGGCGCGAGTTACTTAACACGCTCCTGGCAGAGGTAGCATTTTGGGCCTTCGCACGTGAACTAGGAGAATTCTTTTGGTCTTCAGTCTTAGAAACTACCTGAATGCTCTCATTTTTCGTGTCCTGGAAATCTGAAAATCAAACAACTGAGATGTTAATAAAGATACCGAATCAGTAAACTCCTAAATATTTAAGACATATGCATGTCAGGTGATAGGATTGACAGAAAAGAGATACTAGAAAACTGACATTTATCAGGATATAATGCACCATTGATCATATTTGCACAAAAAGTACAGATCCTTGTATAAGATTCTTAAATTAGAGCGGCAATTTGGAAACAAAAGTGTGATACTGGATAAGAAAACTCAAGTAGCTCTAGGAGTCTGGAAATCAAACAAGTGAGTTGTAAACATAGATATCCAATCAGTAACTCCTATACATATTTTAAGACACGTCAATGTTATGTGGTAGGATTGACAGAAAAGAGATACTGGCAAATTGACATTCATCAGAATATAATGCATCATTGATCATGTTTGCACAAAAGATATGGATCCTTATATTGTTCTTAAAGTCTAGCAGTAATACAGGAACAATACTGTGTTAGGAAAACTTAAGTAGCTCTAAGAATTTGAGAAGTTATGGGGCAGTACCTTTTAGCTTTCTCTTACTTGGAGGACTTCCAGAGGCCTTCCGGTTCACAGGGGACTTGGAGCCTTCATTCAGGTCAATCCTGGAGCCTTCATTCTGGTCAATCTTGGAGCCTTCATTCTGGTCAATCTTGGAGCCTTCATTCTGGTCAATCTTGGAGCCTTCCATCTCCGCAATCTTTCCAAGAAGATAGTTGTGCTCAGACTTGAGATGCTTGTATTGTGTCGTCGCGTGATTGAATTTATTCTGCTCAAGAAGAAGATCCTTATCCTTCAACTCCAGCTGCTGTCTCAGCCGCTGATGGGCCTCCCTCTCCCTTGAAATCTCAGCAGACTTCTCCCCAATCTCTCTTTCGAGCCGACGAATCACCTCGTCTTTCTCCATTTCCTCCTCCAATCTCCCCCTCTCCCTAGATATCTCAGCAGCCTTCTCCTCAATCTCCCTTTCGAGACAGCGGATCACCTCGTCTTTCTTCATTTCCTCCTCCAATCTCCCCCTCACCCTTGATATCTCAGAATCCTTCTCCCCAATCTCCCTTTGGAGCCGACGAATCACCTCGTCCTTCTTCATTTCCTCCTCCAATCTCCCCCTCACCCTTGACATCTCAGCATCCTTCTCCCCGATCTCCCTTTCGAGCCGGCAGATCACCTCATCTTTCTTCATTTCCTCCTCCAATCTCCCCAGAAGATGCTTCTTCTCGGCATCGTGCTCCGCAGCCAACCGGTCGGCGTTCACGAGCATCCCTCGCATCTCCTCGAGAGAGCTCTCCAGCTGCAGCAGCCTATCCTCCGCGCGCCGCTTCCCGCGGTTGAGCTCCTCTAGCTGGCTCAGCAGGCCGGCCTCCCTCTGCCGCCACTCATCCTCGGCCTCCCTCGTGGCGGTGGAATCGGCCAGCCGCGCGTGGAGGAGCTTGGACTTGGCCTGGAAGTGCGGGAAGATCTGGCTGCAGAAGATGAACTCCATCTGGGAGACCCGGTCCTTCACCTCCTGGATGGTGGCCACCAGGATGGTGCTCATCCCGGTGATGTACTTGAAATCGTCCGCCGCCGCGTCGGCGCCGCAGTCGGCGGCCGAGAAGCCCACCGCCTTGCCCTCCATTTCGGCGACCAGGGGCGGATCTAGATGGTGCGCCGGGTGGGCGCCCGAATTCGTGGAAACTAGGAGTGCGGCGGAGGGCCAAGGCGACGGAGGGGGGCGCCGCCGTAAAGAAGGGCGGCGGGGAGAGCGGACTGGGGTTAGGGTTGGTGGCGTGGTGGGGAGGGGAGGGGAGGGGAGGGGATGGATTTGGGGGATCTCGAAATTTTAGAGCGCGCTTTTTCAAAACTATTGTTTCCGGCGCTTTGCCTCGAATTTTGGAAAGTGACCGGAGATGTATTTTGGTTTATGGCACTTTGGTGGTCTTTTTTTCTGGTAGTACAGTATAGAGGTGGGCGTGGGCTATTTGGAGAGGGCCAACGCAAATTATTGGAGAAATTTATTTTGATTGACACAATGTTTACCAAATTTAATAATTCTAAGCATTCATGATTTAGCTTGAGTTTATCGATGTGAAGCATACAATTACGCATTTCTACAACTATGGTTTTGCACAATTTATTAGTTATGCAACTTCAATTTTTCTTTTATGTTGTACCACTTGATCGGCGTAGGAATAACTATTATGTCAAGCGACTAAAAGCGCCCGCGTAAGCCTGCTGTTAAAAAGTCAACAAAAATAACTAAAAATTGTCATCTTGTATTTGTTTGCCAAAGCTCACACAATCAGATGGCCAGCGCACTGCAACTTACACTCTCATATAAGACGCCCCTTCACTACAGTCCATCTACAAAACTTGCGCGCCTACGCACCACATCAATGGTAAATATGCTCCGTCCAATACCAAAATCAAGTGACCAGGACCACACCACATGGAATCGATGCTTGCGAGAAGAAGGCGCCTTTGGTAGATGGTCCACAACGCTGGCCTCCGGCCCGGCACCGAGGAACGCCTCCGGATGGTCCTGGAGGCTGCCAAGATAATAGGAATCGTGGACGCTAGCTTCGTCTTTTACTTCAACGATGTCGTCATTAGCTTCCTCAAGAGGTTCAACATCCTCGTGAAGCTCGTGGACAACATCACCATACAGCTCAAGCGCGCACGTCTAGGTTCCACGTTGCTCGTCGGCCTCCATAGTGATAACCTCTTCCACACATTGGTGTCTTGCGACTATCCGCCACACACCAGAGAATGTCCACTCGAGGTCACTCTCGTCGCGTAGCGCCTCGCCCTGCAAGACAACATCAACTTAATCATCCATGTCTACGAGAAAGTCATCCACGAGGACCACTATGAGCCATAGGACGATGCTAGGACGTTGGCCTTCTTTGACTACAGGGCAATATGTTCGCATATGCATATTTAGTCCTACCCTTGTAAGCACCGCTGAATCAGATCGTCATCGATATAATCCTTAATACATCGCATTCTCATTTTTGTCGATAAACACTAGTCAAACATGCTCATTTACCCCACAAAAAAACATGCTCATTTCACTTGATAAACGTTGGTTGTCGTGGTTATAATAATCCTGTTGAAAGTTGAGTTGGAGATCTGGAAAGTTGTGAATTGACTTAGTGAAAGGGGACAAGAATTCAAGTTGATGTGAAACAAACAAATGGCAACATCAAAAAATATCAAAACCATTTCACAAAACACCCATAACTTCTATAAATATTACAAAGAGGTCCTTAAGGGAAGTTTTTTATTTGGGCTGTTACACAAACCACCTGAATATGAAACACTCCACCCCCTCGATTTGTGATATCCCCTTTGAATTTGCCATCCATAAATCAAATAACCACCACCCCCACTCCATGAATTTGCCATCCCAGTTACGAAAACATGGTAAAAATATCACACATGTGGCAAAATCCACCCATCCCAGGCCATGTGTGGAAAACGTCTAGCATAGGCAAAAATCACATTGAAAAGTCCACAAAAATCACATTGAACTTCACCATGAGTGTGCATTACCCCGCAGCCACGGCACAACGAAGATGCGCCAATAGATTTTGGTAACTTTGGCCCCCAATCGACATGCGCAAACGTCCATCCGGTTTTCAACCTCGTTTCACCGCGTTGCCGCCTCACCCGGACCACACAATCAAAGCAACACAAAAAAATGCAACCGCGATCACTCCACCCCCACTGCGAGACCACCGATTTGGACCACGACAAGCCTTGGAGGCTACTTCGCTACAACGATGCTGGCCAAAATCAAAACACATGCCCTCGTTTATGTAAATCCCTAGTTGCGACGTCACCTCACCGTGAAAATGATGAGAAATGACTGGTCGTTGTAGCACACTGGGCAATCACAACCCCCCTCATCCCTAGCCTCACGAGCAATCATGAAACACGTTGCCCGTGTACATCAAAGAATGGAGGAATGGCACGACCGAGAATGATGACTCTGGCACCGACAATCGACGACGCGTGAATCACTAGCAAGATGGTGAACAGGCGCACGAGATGCCAGAGCAGGCATAGGGCGAGATGGGAAGATGCGAGTGGGCTAGGTGGGCGACGAGGGGAGGCTGGTGGTTAACGAGGCAGTTCGTGCGGCTGCCACCACGAGCATACAGTTGCAGCCACTGATGTAGCGACACACCCATGAGCCAAGATGGGTGAGCCTCATCCAACGGCTCATGGAGCATTCGCGCTGTTGGGTTTCGCCGTGCAAAAACTTAAGCCAAAGGCACATGAGTGACTTATTTTCTTCATTTATATTTTTTTTCCTTTTTCTTAGCGTTACATCAAAAGATAGTCGTGTGCATGTATATATACACACAAAACAATCCTAACAGGACACTAGCCTACTCAAACGCCAATTCCGGTATGAGAGCGGCAACAACGGATAAAGATTACTTCATAGCATGTCGTTGTCTAAAGATTATTTTTGCATTGGATCTACTTTCATCGACAAGGTCAGGGCGACTCCAAGATGAGAGTGGTGCCCAGACGATTCATTCTGATGGCGTTAGTGGTCGTTCGGTGGTCCAAAGACTTTGATGTATTGTTTATCATGTTTGTGATGCTTTGTATTTTTGGAGAACCTTTATAATGGATCTAGATCCTTTTCGGAAAAATGGAAATTACTGTTAGTACATAGCGGAGTAGCGTGTCGGGCGCGATTTACCATTTCGACAGAATGTTGTAGCACATCGGTCTACATGCGACCTGCCCCACCGCATCGCGGGGTTGTTCGTCGCCACCGTCGTGAAGCTTCCACCGCGTCACAGGGTTCTACATCATTGTCGTCGAGGACGACGACACTTGTAGTGGTACATCCAGGCTTTTCCGACCATCTTGATTGCTCTGCTCCCAAGTTTGCCCCCTACTCTGACCCCTGGCTGCATTTTCTAGCGGTGACTGTATGCGTGCGTGTGTAGGTGAGAAGGCTCTCATGAAGGCGGCTTTCAGCGGACTCATCAACCAGGAGGAAGAACTCATAGTTCTTTGCACGAGTGATTCTGATCGTGAGCAAGATCGAGAACGCGAGCTTCAAATGGACAATCTAGAGGAGCAAGAAGTCGCGGTTCTTCCCCTTCATGGTTCTGTCGGGCAGAAAGATGAACAAAGCAAGTTTCAAATGGAGGGGCCAGAGGAGGAGCAAGAAGGCATCATTCATCCCATGAATGATTCAGCCTACCAAAAAGATTAAAAACGTGAGCTTCAAATGAACAAAGCAAAGGAGCAAGAAGTCATGGTTCTTCCCATTGGTGATTCTAATTGCAAGCAAGATCAAGAATGTGATCTTCAAATGGCCAAACCATAGGAGAAAGAAGGCGTAGTTCATCCCACGGGTGATTCTATCTGCCAAAAAGATGAATAACACGAGCTTCAAATGAACAAAGCACACGAGACAAAGCCTGTTCCTCTTCCAATTAGTGATTCTGATCGCAAGCAAGATCAACCACGCAAGGTCCAAATTGACAAAACGTGCGTGGTTGTGCTTCCCTCGGCTACCTCTATTTGCCAGCAAGATCAAGCATGCAAGATTTTCTTTTAACTATGTACCTAAAAAAATCCTTCGGGGATCTGCCTTGGGCTGAGGGGGGCACATGCCCCTCAACTATGCACATAGTGTTGGGGAACGTAGTATTTCAAAAAAAAATCCTATGCACACGCAAAATCCATCTAGGTGATGCATAGCAACGAGCGGTAAGAGTGTGTCTACGTACCCTCGTAGACCGAAAGCGGAAGTGTTTAGTAACACGGTTGATGTAGTCGAACGTCTTCGCAATCCAACCGATCCAAGTACCGAACACACGGCACCTCCGCGATCTGCACACGTTCAGCTTGGTGACGTCCCTCGTACTCTTGATCCAGCTAAGGCCGTGTCACACCCTGATTTTCATGCCACTACACTTAAGCTAACAATCATGATAGAATGTGGTTTGACAAAAACTTTTGAGTGTTTTGGACCTTGCCTTAATTGGATTTTGTTTGTTGTTTGCAAGTGCTCTAAAAATCAAATAAATCCTCCAACTCTTATACTCCTTCTCCTTGATCCAAAACCTTGCCCAATGATCATGCCATGTGTGTAGGACATAAAAACAATTTCTTGCAAAAATATTTTGGCCAAAAAGAATTTTATAAATTAGGTTTTCCAAAAACCCCTGAATTGAGACTTGAACTACAAGTACTTAATTAAGGGTGTGAAAAATCTTTCAAAAAGTATATTTGAAACCTATTAGGTATAGGGCTCCCATAAACCACAAAAATACAATTTTAAAAGTTATTTTCCTATTTTATTTAAAGGATTTTTCTTTAGGCCGGAAATGGTCTTTAATAGGTTAAAATTATTTTAATGCTTTAAAAATATTTGGGAAAAACCTAGGGAAACTCAGTGGACATATATTATCCATATATAAGAATATAAGAGTTTCAACACATGGTCATGTTCAAAATATGGGTCAAATCCCTCAAAACCCCTTTCTGGATATTTCAAGCTTTTGAAATATTTACAAAGGAAATATTCCCCAAAATTCCAAGAAAATTCTAGAATGTCACATATGACATGTTTGATGATCTTGCCAAGTATCATGTCATGGA